GGTTTGTTCGTCGAGTTTGACAGGCACGGCTGCTATCCCGAGGAAGTAGCAGTGACTCGCGCGTGAACTGGGTCACTGTGGGCGGTACTTGCGTAGTATCCACTTCGCTCGTTCTTCCCATACGCATAATCTTTAGCTGCCGAAACTCAAGGGTACCTAACTGAAATTTTAAAAGAAGCCTTAAAGTCAAACAGAGTCGTAACACCATTTGAATTGAAATACAATAGCAGGGTAATTAACCCATTGTCAGATGCTAGTCCTCCGATGAGTATGCTGCGGGCCGCTTACGCGAATACCGCTGCCAAAGCCACATCTGCCTAAGTGGTGCTTTGGCAAATTACGGCGTTCTCCAGACTGTACACCGAAAAATTGAAGTAATTTTGTTCTAAAAACTCTACATGGCCTAATACGGGACCGGTAGTAATAGAGGTTTTTACAGGTAGGGCCGGGTAACGCACAGGTGACGAGGACAAGAAGTTGTATGCAAACGAGAAGCCATTGGGGATGCGCGGTCGTACTTTGTGTGGTTGAGAAATAGCTGCGCTAACCCCTAACTCTGATCCCTAACTATAACCCCTAACCCTAGACCCCAACCCTAACCCCTAGCCATAAACCCTGACCTCTAACCATGGTCCCTAACCATAACCCCTAACTCTAACCCCCAATTCGAACCCTTAACACCAACTCCAACAGCATTGTGTCCATCAGGTGGGGCTACTAAACCACATCTTACCAAGATTACTTAAGAAGTGTCTTAAAAATAACTAGCAGGCAGCATAATTATATAATACTTCAGTTACCGCGAGATGTAAGCCTTCAAATGAATTTCGATGCCCCTAAAAATTCAAATATATTTCATGGAAAAAATGCATAAAATATTCATTCTTTTGCTCATTCGGTGGAAGATTACGTCTTCTTCTAATTTTATACTTGAAGGAAGGGTATAATTCAGTTTCAAAAAACTGCTCCAATTCCAAAATAATTTTGAAACCGACCTGCGTCACACTTGCATTCACGATTTCCAAAATACAAGCCGTATATTTTCTGCTTACAAAAAACCACATATTTCTCTACGGTATTGAGAGGCGACAATACGGGTTTCATAAAATTTAGTAGTGGATTAAAGCCATATTGTTAACTTTACAAGCCACACTGGAAATGGTGAGACATGACGATTTATGAACGGTCATTTCATGGTATTAAAAAATCTCACAATTTGAAACTTTTTTAAAACCGAATTATACCCTTCCTTCGAGTATAAAATTGGGAGAAGGCATAATTTCCTACCGAATAAGCATCGAAAATCATTGAGAACAATACATGCGACATAAGTAGTCATTTTTTACAGATTATAGTTTTTGTATGCAGCCGGAAGAAAGTTCTTTCGAAAGCCAGCATTCTGAGGTAACTGAATTATTATAGAATTATTCTGCATACTGATTAGTTTTACAACCCTACTTAATTCATTTTTTCGTACGAAAACGCTTTTCGGAATTTCGGTTGACATTTCATGATTTAGCCCAACTACTGTATTTTACATTGAAATTCTAAACGAGGGCCCCGTTATTTTTTTACAGTAATTCGGCCCAGATGATAAGCCCTACCGGTTTACAACGACCCCTCTATTACAAGGAGGACATGACATCTACGAATCAAGCCCTTTTTAAAGATACTGTCGGCCAAACTTTCCAGTCTCCTCTACAGTGTCACAGCAGTCTCCAGCAGGTCACAGCGAGACCAGGCTACTGGCGCTACGATCCAACAACCATCTGTTCTAGTCCCATGACATGTCTCAGTGGCGAGCAGACTGACACGTACTGGTCCAGGGACGAATTTCGCCTCTACGGACTGTCGGACAGCAGCTGTGAGACTCCCTTCTGGTCGTCACCGCCACCGCTCCATCACCACCTACAGACAACAATGAGGTCGCCGCCAGAGGGATTCTGTTGTGTACCCGGCTCAGAGGGTCGACCTGAGAACCCCTCTCCCTCGATAATCGCCTACCCAGCGACCAGCGGCGCGTTCTGTGTTGCCTCCTGCGCCGCCACCAGCAGGGATCAAGTGACTTGCTATGAGGGGGACTTGACCTACAGCCTCGGCTGCAATGCTGCCGGAGGATGGGTGGAGTCACCGACGGAGGTGCCGCTGATGCGGGGAGGTTCGCAACCCACGCCAAAGGTGAGCCCGCATGGAGGAGCCCCAACCGCGGGATTCGTCACCGATGGAGGGCCGGAAGAAGTATACCAAGACGATGAGGGTGACGAGGGTAGGGAGGGGAAATGCGAGGAAGAAGCAGGGGAGCGGACCAAGATGGAGAGGGAGGGACACAGCCGAAGGCGACGAAGACTCACTTCTAAGCTGGTACGACTGAGTTGGAAGGCCCGATTCTGTTCCGGTCGTGATGCTTTGATGCGTCATTGTCGATCATATCAGCGTAGACACAACGCCAATCATCGTCATCACGCGAATCAGCGACAGGCAGCGAATATGCGCGAACGAAGACGGATGCAGTCAATCAATCATGCGTTCGAAGGTAGGCGAATTTTCAAGACATAAATATTCCCCAGTTGGGAGAAGTATCTTCACGGATGCATTCTGTTTTTTTTTTGGTTGGACGCCACAGATCATGCCACCACTCCTTAAGCGGTGTTGTTACTGAAGGGGAAAGTTTAGATCAATACAACTTCAGCTTGAAAGAGCGAAAACCGGAATAATAGATGACAGCGAAGAAGAGGATGTTAAAATAGGCCGGTAGACCCGGTTCCTAGTCACACTTCAGTAGGTGATCACGACTACAATTCAATTTAGTCAAAAATATTGATAAATAAATAAAATAAACGAATGCTGAACATTTAAAATATTGATATGAATATTGATAATAAATAAAGAACATTCATACATAAAAATCTCGATCTGAGCCCGTATAAACTGATTTACTTCAAGTCCATAGTTAATTTCTGAAGAAATCAAAAAGCGACAATGAAGAGACCAATCAGGGCCCCCGGTAAAACCTAATGAAAATTGAAGATGGGCTAGAAGGGAGTGAAGTTCACCTATCTGTCCAGATCGCAGAGCAGAACACAGTCGTCCATGAGCAAAACGACCTGTGCATATCCCTTAGTGCAAGCGGAACAGATCAGTTGACGCCGCTTTTGCGGACGTGTTCCTGATCTCAGCCGTTGGAGTGCGAGTCAGTGGCTTAAATGACAAAGCTAAATGTTAGTAATTAACGGAGTGGGGTCCCAACTTCTTGGTTGTCAAACCAGAAATGACCACTCTACCCTACGTTGTCATTGTCGGAAATAATTGTGGCAGAGGGGTGCTTACCGACTGTTTTTACGGAACTCGCTCGTCGCGTTGTGCCTTACGGGCCCTCTCTAGAGCCCAACCGGCAGACACACAGCAGCGAGAGAGAGCCCGTGAGGCGCAACAGGACGAGAGAGTTCCGTAAAAACTATCAGTGAGCGCCCCTCTACCATTCCCGACCGAAGCCGACAGGACAACGAGCCCGTGGTCCAGTGGTTAGGGGCATTGGACTTCTGACTAACAGGTCGCGGGATCGAGCCCCAGGCGTTCCACATTTTGGGTTTGGATATGACTGGCTGACGACGGCTAACAAGCCAGAAATGGCCATTCCAGTCTCCTTTGTCTTTTTCGGCAATAAATTTCTGGAAATGCTTGTGTGGTGTTGTGATTAACTATTTGTACAGCTAGTCAGGATGGAAGAAGGTAGTTAATAAAGGCAACTTAAGGGTTAAGAAGTTGTTAGGCTTTACGCTAACTCCTCAGCCAGTGACCTTCCCAAAAATGATCTTTTAATTGGATAATGTGCCATATTTAAGAACAAGACACTCCGCTAGAAAGTCTTTTCTCCGCTTTTTGGAACAATTTTTCATAAGCAAGGGACTCTTCAACTAGATGCCGTAGAATCACCAAAGATATTTCAATACTAGTGGTCTCAACCCGTTATGTCTGACAGTCGTAAGGCGTTCCACTTCTGATGCCTGTTTAGTCATTGTCCCCGACAGCCAGCGCGTGGGGACGTCAGTATTCCCTCAGCCTGGAGTCTATTTTGTACATTCTTTTTTCAAAAGACCAGCTTGACATTTTGAATGTCTGAACCCATTCGTGCTCTACCCACCTGTCCGTCAAATGCAAATATGAGTCTTTTGATCTAATGATGTTCGAATAGGTGGGCGTTGAATATACGGCTTGCGGCATCCACAATGAACGGTTTAGATGAAGAAAGCAGTGGGAGCCATCCTTCTGGACCATCGGACGCTCGCTAGGTCCTCTGCGAAATAGGCAGCGATTAGTTCCTTCGTAGTAAACGCCAACACAGGACCTCCCCTCTCGCTACAGGTGGCACCGCGCTAGATTCCAGGAGGGCTGAGTCAACCTTGACCCTAGTCGCCATGGTATTTCACGCAAGGCTACCTGTATTAGGGGAAGGGCGTTGTTCATATTTGCGCATCCTCCTCGCCGACTTTTAATTTTGCAATGTGTCCTACGTATTCACCGTTCCAAGTAACTGGTCTTTGAGTGGTTTTCGTCCCTGGAACCTATCACAGAATCTGGCGAAGGTGACTGCAGGCGAGCGCTCGAGAACCTGCAATTCGCATTTTAACGCTGTAGGTTGCTCCCATCCTCCCACTTTTTCTTTCTAACAGCTACATCCTCTTCTGCCGCGCGCACTGATTCGCTAATTCTGTTGGAAACCGCCGACCACTTCCGGCACATGGTACAGTTGGTGAGCTAACTCATGAACTGTCAGCCGAAATTCCGAAATGCGTTGTTGTTTCGAAAATATTAATTATGTAGGGTTGTAAAATTAATCAGTCTGCAGTATAATTCTATAATAATTCAGTTACCTCAGGATGCCGGCTCTCGAACGAACTTCCTTCCGGCCGCATACAATAACTATACTCTGTAAAACATTACTACTTAAGTAGCATGCATTTTTCTCAATGACTTTCGATGCCCCTAAAAGCTCAATTATACTTCATGGAAAAATGAATAAAAGTATTCATTCTTTCTCTTATTCTGCAGAAAATTACGTCTTTTTTTAATTTTATAATCGAAAGAGAGGCATAATTCGGTTTTAAAAGAGTTTCTAATTGTGAGACTTTTAAGTACCGTGAAATGGCCGTTCATAAAACGTCATGTCTCTGCATTTACCAGTGTGGCTTGTAAAGTTAACAATATGGATCAAACCTACTGCTAAATTGTATGAAACCTATCTGGTCTTCCTTTATTACCGTAGAGAAATGCGTGGTTTTTCGTACGCGGAAAATACTTGGCTTGTAGTTTGGAAACCCTGAATGCAAGTGTGACAGAAGAGCGGGTTCAAAATTATTCGAGAATTAGAAAAATTTTTGAAAACCGAATTATACCCTTCCTTCGAGTATAAAATTGGAAGAAGACACAATTTTCTACCGAATAGGATAAAGAATGAATATTTTTGTGCATGTTTTCCATGAAATATAATTGAATTTTTAAGGGCATTGAAAATCATTGAGAAAATTGCATGCTACTTAAGCAGTCATTGTTGTAAAGTATAGTTTTTGCATGCACCCGGAAGGAAGTTCGTTCGAAAGCCGGCGTCCTGAGGAAACTGAATTATTATATAATTATGCTGCAAGATGGTGAACTTTGCTGGTTAACTAGTGAACGACTTGGCAGATGCCCAGGGCTCCGTATACATTTTGGAGGAGACTGGATGCTGCGCACGGGGGGAGGGCACGTGGGCTTGAGAGATATGCCTTCTTTAGGATAACCGTCCAGAAATGATCACTTAGTTGTCACAATAGACGCTGAAGTTAATTAGAGGATACGGCAAACAACAATGTCTGTTCTCATGAAGTGAACGCATGCTTTTTGTTACCCAGTACTCGCTTCAGCCCAGGGTTATGGCCGACGGAATAATGCCCTCATACTTTCTAGACGGCGGTTATTAAATTACCTCCCCAGTAAAATGGCATTTGGGAATAGCAGTAGTTATTCGATAGACATTCCATTGCCTATGGAAGAGTGGAACGGTGGGCCCCCCTAATCGAGTGACTCTGGCACGCCAGACGTGAGTATGTGCAGCGCTCGAGATAGGGAGACAGAACACCGCGTTGGCCACTGCATCCGATCGAAACTTCAGTCGGCTTCACTCAGTTCATGTCGGGAGAGGAAAGAGGAAACGATGCCGATCGTACACCACCGTCGCTCAGTGTTATAAATACATTGCTGTTTTTATGTATACTGCCCTTCTACAGTTATGCTTGGCAGATGCTCAATTGACGGAATAACAGAGTCCACCGGGCTGAGGCTGAAGTCTCAATGACTCCGCCTTGAGACAACACTATTTTAACTGTGGTGGAGGGGCGCTCACCGATCGTTCTTATGGAACTCGCTCGTTCCGTTGTGCCTTATGGGCTCTCTCTCTCTCTCGAGCCCAACCAGCAGCCGCACAGCGGCGCCTGATATACGCAGTGTTTTATTACCGACAAAGACAAGGGAGAATGGAGTGGCCATTTCTGGTTTATTAGCTGTCGTCAGCCAGTCATACCAAACCCCAAATTGTGGAACATCCGGGGTTCGATCAGCGACCTGTTAGCTAGAAGTCCAACGCCCCTAACCACTGGGCCACGGGCTCGTTGTCCTGTCGGTTTCGATCGGGAATGTAAAATGGTAGAGGGGCGCTCACCGATCATTCGTACGGAACTCGCTCGTTCCGTTTACGTTAACTTTGACTGACGTAAGAGCCAATCAAAATCGGCTTTATTCGCGCTAGTTTAAAGGTCAACCGAGGTGTTACATGTGTAAATGGAGTTGATGTTTGTCTAGTCATTGTGCCCACGTCTTTACTCTGGCCTTCCAACTAGGCAGCGCGGTGGAAGAATGAAGAAAGAAGGAACTGAATACTGCTCAGGTTTTTCTCATCATAATCCAATGTATTTACGACTTAATGCTGTCGACACGGAACGTAGTGATTCCCTCCCAGTACGACAGACGGGACATTGAGAGAGCAGAGGTTTCAAAATGTCGGCGAACTTACTAGTTATCACCTGGATTTGACTGTTAGTATTGCCCGAAACTAACGATTTATTCACTCCTCATTGTGCTCAGCTGCCTAGATCCCTCCAAATGAACTAAAGTTTAGAATGGGCGGTACAATGACGGGTTTAATGGAGTGCCTAATGGCACTACGGTCTGCACAGGCGGTCTCGTAGAGATGAGCGGTCAGTCAGGACGAAACACTGCCAGCAAAAAGGCAGTTTGGAATGGCCATTTCTGGTTTATTTTTCGGAGGCAACCGGCCCCATCCAACCCTACGGCAGAGGTAACAGGGCTTCAAACTTAGGTCCGTCGTTGGTCACGCTAGATGCTCTGCCGCGTTTGCTTCGGACTCACTTTTTGAGTCGTTACTGATGAAAGATAGTGATGTTACCAGTCGCTTACGGCCCAAATTCTCAACTTGTGCGTGATAAGCTTCAGTAGCTAATTGAATCTCAGCCCGACAGTCATTTCTTCCGACGCATAATTTGGGTATGACTGACTGAAGGCGGAAGATAAGTGCCATTCTCAGCCTCCGTTTTCTTTGTCGGTAATACACCTCTGTGAAGTGCACACCATCAGACTTCCCTGTCCAGACACACCGATTTACCTGCGTGTTATCATGCACTCCGCCCACGCAGCCAGGTGGCGCAGCTCACGTCGTCGAGACGTAAAAACGGCGTCACCACGCCGGGGACCACCGTGGAACAGGCGGCACAAACCAGACCTAGCCACGGACGTAGCCCCCCCCCCCCGCATGGAACTGCGATATGATTTGTCACACGTTGCTGCATCCTAGCAGTCTCTGATAATGAAGTCCAGTTCGAGTTCGAAAGCTCAGGCCAGTAAAACTACTGTCCCTGTGATCATGCCTTCGTCTTCTTTTAGATAGAATGATGTTACCAGTCGCTTCCGGCCCAACTTCTCGGCATGTGGGTGATGAGATTCAATAGCTAATTGAATATGAGCCTGTCAGTCAGTTCTTTCGAGTCATCATTTGCGCATGACTGACTGAAGACGGAAGACGTAGCGCCAGCATCCGTTTTCTTTGTCGGTAATACACCTCTGTGGAGTGCTCACCATCAGACTTCTCTGCCCGGACACTCTACCGCCTGTTTAACCCACAAACGGCCTTCCAGATAGGAGTCACATACTTGCCCGAGGACAGTGAGTGCTGCCTGATGCATTTCCAGTTCCTACACTCACTTCAGAAAATTTTTGTCATATTTGGCCCAGGTGGGAAGAACTCGGCGGCTTCCAGGGTATTCGAACCCCCGACAGCAGGCGAAAGCCTTGTGTACGGCCAACGCTTCAACTACCTGAGCTACGAGGCCCCGACGGGCTGTCGTTTAGTTTAATTGCAGTCGGGTCAAGTTACCCATCCAGCCTACTAAAACGTATTAAGTCCACCCACTACAGACCCTGGAAACTGCGTTTATGGACAGAAATTCATCCCTTGGAATTTATGACCTAACCTTCTTGCATCATACGAATAAGGGCAATTCTGATGCATTTCCAGTTTGAAATCTAAAAAGACACTGTAGGTGGGACAATAGCCTTAGTTTTATAGGAAAGCAGGCATTTTATTTACTGTCTTTAGCTGCCATTTCGTCTGCAGGAAATTCGTCCGGTAGATGTGAATTCATAAAGGTTTTACTTCAGAAGAGGAAAAGTACCAATATCACTTCCCTGTACTTTCTCATTTAAAGCATAAATGTGACAAATCAGAGTCCGTTTTATGTACCTATGTGCATGGGTGGCTACTCTGACTATAGTTATCACCAGCGACAGGGATGGGGGCGGGGGGAGAGGAAGAGTGATGTTCTCAGCGCGGGGTGCTTTTAGGCTAGCAGCCAGCGAGATGCTGATTGGTGGGTACATAGTGTCCTCTCGTAGTAACGTGTGGAGACGTTGATTTCGCAACTTCGAAGGAGGAGGAGGAGGTACGGGGGAAGAAGGCCGCGAGTGTTACGATTCGCAAAGAGCCCCTGCTTAGTTCACCGTCCCTTGCTGCACTCTCCCACCCCCTAACCCGCCCCTCACCACAGAGAGTTCGCTGTCGTCCCACTTCGCCTCCTCGCGACCCTCCCCCTTCCAGTTTGTGCTTGTCCACTCTCCGACCGACTCAAAAACATTCGCCTTTCCATCAGCAAGCAGACACTGTTCCTACTGGGCTGCCTTAGTCTTGGGGGTGGGGTAGGGGACTCTAACCACACGCGTGAGAAAATAAGGACTTGGATGGCATCAACCACTCGGTTGAGATGGTGTATGCATTACGACGAATCGGGTACCCCAATTGCCGCCAAAGTCCGGGAGAATAGCAAAGTGTTATTCCTACTTAGGGTTTTAAACTAATAAAAAGTTGGTAGTGGGGTATCTAGAGGCAGGGCATTGGAAACCAGGGCACTGACCAACCGGCCCGTAACTCCAAAGTACAGGAACTTAAGAACTTCAATTCTACGGTACCACTTCAAAATGCTACAAACCGCACTTTGAGCTTTGACGTGACTAGAATGTTCTGTCAGACCAAAGGCAAGACACCCTTTATGTAGAACAAAATGCCAAATGAGAAATATGGTGGGCAGGTATATGCAATATTGCCACTTCTTAGTAACGGGGCCAAGTTATTTTAACCTTACGCTTTCCAACTTATGGTTCCATCAAAGTGCATCGTAGACAAGTACTATAAACCGCTGGAGTTATGATTGGATAAATTTTACTGGCCCGTCAAATATGCAAAAAAGTAGTTAATTGTTCTTGTTGCGTTATGACTACATCTTTCCCAGTTAGCGTTACGTCACTTTAAACCAGACAGGCGCTTCGCTCAAGTAGGTAGTGGCTCCTATAACCAAAATAAGGTCGACCATATATAATGTGAGTAGATAATCATCTTGCATGCTGGGAGATTTACCGATCAAAACCTGGACAACCAAAATGGTCACTGTGGACAAAGTATCCTTGTCAGCCGGTCAAATCCCAATCCTACTCCACGACGACTAGAGCCCTGAACTTTGGTTCACTTGTTAACGGCGTCAATGATTGTCATTCTCAAACGACGATAGTCCTTTGACAGGAAAGTGAGGGTCAGAATTATAAAGCTTCCTCGGGGAGATGTGGTTTGGTAGCCCCACCTGATGGATACAATATAGATGGGGTTGGGGTTAAGGGATTGGGATAGGAGTTGGGATTAGGGGCTAGGGTTTAGGATTAGGAGTTAGAGTTAGGGGTTAGTGCAACTATTTATCACCCATTCAAAGTACAACAGCGCATCCCCAATAGCTTTTCTTTTGCATACAACTACTTGACCTCGTCGCCTGTGTGTTCCCCGGCCCCACCTTGAAAAAAGCCCTATTAATACTGGTCCCGTATTAGAAGTGACTGGGGCTTGTTTTCTTCCGGTGGGGCTACCAAACCACGTCCGACCGCTTTTTCTTTAGGGACTCCCAACGAGGTGCGGGGTTTCGTCATGGCCAGCCTTGCTGCGCGTTTAATTTACGAGAAAATAAATGCGCGAACTTAGAGTAACACCCTCAGCACATAATTTTTTGGCCCGATTCGAAGGCTTATATATGCATATTCAGGGTGAAGTCCATTAGCTACTTCGGAATAACCGCATAACATTCACAAGTTGCCGACAGGCAATTAGAAGTTTACAAATACTAAATTGTTAACCATACTGACAGAACAGGTACTGGGCAAAAGCTTTTAGCCAATACCTACGCGGTCAGTATCGTAAATCATTCAGTATTTGTATGGCCAGTACTTTTGCCTAGATTGGCAGTTTCGCGGCTTTATCTCCAAGTAGGCAAGTAAAACGACAAGATTAAGAATTGGGCCTTGTTCTGAATTAGACGTCAACCAAAATAAATTATCTGCTTCGAGGTCCGTTAAATTTCAAGACCGTCGCTAATTAAAAGCACGTCTCGATATTTTTTATTAATTATTGGCAATGAACACGCTAAACGTACGCATGTTATGCTTGTAGGTAACTGCAGTGAAGATGAACATGACGATGCTTTCAAACGCCGACTATAGAGCTCCATTAGATGTTTGGTTGAGGTACAATGTGGTCGGTATCGCTTACTTCCAACGTTGACAGAACATTAAAATTGGTCCAGAAATGCGTCGGATTTAGTTGTCGTCCATCCCGGGAGAGTAAACTGACTTAACGACAGTTCTTAGCGCCAATTTTCACGTTCCCTGAAGAGTCATTTTTGAATTCAACCGGTGAATTCTGGGAAACACTTACAAGTATATGGAAAGGTGACTTTGCGTAATGATGTTAAAAGGATTGCACTCCAACAACTGATAGACCTCAAGGTCAGTGTGCGGATACCAGTTATTAAAATTACACACTGTGCCAAGCGTCCGACTTCTTAGTGCTGCAAAGGTATTCGGCCAACTGTAAACTTTTCATAGAATCTATGCTTTGATCTTCGTTAACCGTGATGTGAATGATGCGTTTTCTAATGACCCGTAGCGTTCTCCGTCTCCTTACCAAGGCAAAATTTGATTGGATGCTGCCGCTCTAGTCGTGACACAAACAAACCGAAATTTCCGCAGTAACAGAACATCTCCGGTACAGGGTCAAATACGAAGAAACAAATAAACTAGTTTAAATAAAAAAGCGATATATGATCGCCATGTGGTCACAGAGGCGCCGCCATTAGAGCATAACTGCGCCTGAGACCATCTAGACGTAATAAAAATTTCCATGATTATATTAATGCGAACCCAAACCTGGCTATGGACAAGATACAAAACCAGCAGATTTTTCTCGGCTGCAAGTTAAAATCCAAAGCAACGCTGCACATACTTTTCAAGTGTCGGGAGCGGATACGCATAATTTTGATGAAACATGTGGCCGACTTACTTTTATACCCTACGATAACAAGAATGGCAAGTAAACTTGACCAAAATTGCGAAATTTTCCGAACCTGTCGGCATTTGAAAGGTCTATCGGTTCTATACGTTAAGTTGATTCACTCGGGAAACTTACATTTTATAATTCACGCATCTCGAAGGAGGAATGAAACCGCACGAACCAGTTGGTAGTTGAAAAGCTACTTCATAGAACACGTTGAATAAAACTTAGTTAAGACAGTTCGCAGGAGGAAAAGTTCGCATGAATTGGTTTATGGTGAGAGTAGACTTGCACAGCATCTATCGCAACATCTCCTCCTTTCCCATCAGGATCCGATGTCAAGACAGAGTCAAGAAGCACAGAGGCAGGAGAGGACGCAGGTGGCTGGCACAGCCGGACCCGCATCTAGGCGTACCATCACACCCCCTGGTCCACTACATTCAACCAGGATTTTAACCAACAACAGCACCACAACGGGTCAGAAAGACGACGAGGATGACTGGGCAGCCATGCTCGCGACATGTATATTCAGTGGGGGTGCAAGCGCATCTACCGGCTGGGTAACAGGTGTCAGAATACTGCCAACGCACACCGGGCTGCGAGGGCCATGGTTTGCTGAATCATGGCATCGCAGATACTTACATTCCTTGAGGCCCACTCTGGTAAATACAGTATATGCATAGTGTGTGTGACACATGCAGTGAAGACCAGGTGGCATGTTGGACAGTTCAGCCGCCGTTGCCGACGACGTCTTCCATGCGCTCCACAACATGACGAAACAGACACGGTGACTTACGCGTGAATTCGTTAATGTTGGTAGTAGACTTGCACATCATCTACCACCTGGAGCAGGTGTCAAGACATAGCCAAGAAGACCGGAGGCGGGGGAAAGCGCAGGTGGATGGCACGGTCGAGCCCGTACCATGGCGCTCCACTTCACACCCCCTGGTCCACACAGCAAATAGTCAGGTTTTTGACCAACAACAAAAGGGTGGCTGAGTTGGGACGTCGGTCAGCAGCCTTCCAAGCCACCGCGCTTGATGCGCCGTGATAGTCTCAGACTCAAATCACACATTCAGTAGGGGCCGCATGGAAACGGAGCCGAGGTGCACACTTGCCACTTGCCTGGGAGGGAGAAATTGAAAGCTTTGAGGGATGATGATGCTGTATGATGTAGGTGGAGGAAGAGGCGATAGTGTGGTTTAGCCGGCGGTTGTATACTGCAGGTCGCATGTAGCACGCCAAGCCGAGCTCTTTGGCTTTATCAGTCAGTACGCCCGCGGCCGCTTAAATCGTCACCCCCTATTGACGTTATCTTGTCATCGAGGCAATGTGGATGAAGGAGGGGAGGGCGCGAAAGGTGTTGCACAAGTCCGCCTCACTACAAACCAGTCCCCGCGCAAATCACCGGTGATGCTTCCACCCCGTTCGAAACATGATGAACGTCGTCGTTTGAGGCTGTCGAACTGCCAAATTAAGTTTCAACCCTCCCCTTCCGTATTCTTCTGGGAACAACTGAAAAAACTGTTATCGAAAAAAGGAGAAAGGAATGACACTCCTTTCTTCGACAGTTGGTCTCACCCCGAACGGGGAAAACCTAGGCACGGGGCTGGCGTCGGGCTGTTTATTGGCGGTTAACCTTCCACCACACAGGCCAAGGGCCAACACTTCGGCTATAATGCTCAACGACCTTATTCCGCCGGATCGGTGAGCTTCACCACCAAAATGACCGTAGCTGTAGAACAGAATAATAATCTAAAAGTCTTACGCGCTGACAGATCAGAAATCTGGAATATATTACTCGCTAATATTCAGGGCAATTCGTTCTAATGGACTGTTAAGGCAAATCCGAGCGCCTCAAAGTGACAATCTAAGAGATAACGGCTTCCTGCTCCGTCCTTGACTTGGGTTTTTTACGGGTGAATTCGATAATGACCCTCGTTACCTCCCCACACCGCTCAATAAGGCCCATCTTTGAGCAAAACAAAATGTATGCACCCCAGATCTGCCTTCTGTTAGTGGAGCTATTCACGTTTCTAACCAGCACTAGCTGAAGGAGGCCTTTTGCTGACCCCCTGACAGGTCTGCGTGCTCACATTCCAACCCTGCCCTACGAGAAGAAGCTCTCCAAAGTGGACACGCTGCGTCTGGCGATAGGCTACATTAACTTCCTGCAGGACCTAGTCTCCAACGAGAATTTTGCCTTCAACGGTAAAGAGGACATGACGCCGCCAGACTCCACCTCCACTTCCTCCTCCTGCCTCCAGGACTTCGACTATGAGGCCGTACGAAAGACCACTTCCACCGGCGAGGCCACTGCTAGCACGGCCACCGGTCAGTCTGTCGGGGCAGGCGAACTCAATTCCACGCGCGACGGTTTCACGCGGGCGCGCAGTCTTATGGCCTCGGTGAGGTCGGCCAATCATCTGGGTGCGGTGGGCCAGCCGGTGAAGAAAGTGGTCCTCACTCTCTCTGTTCGAAGTGAGTTATCCCCCCCCCCCCCAGCAGAACTCGGCCTAAAGGCCCCTGCAGTAGGTGTTGCAACTCACGAATTACATTAAGGGCACTAACTCATGAAATGCTAACCGATATTCTTAAATGCGTTTTCGTTTCATAAAGATTAGTTAACTAGGGTTGTAAAATCAATCATCATGCAGCATAATTCTATAATATTTTTTTACCTCGGGATGCCGGCTTTCGAACGAACTTCCTTCTGGCCGCACGCAAGGAATAAACTCTGTAAAAAATGACTACTTGAGTAGCATGAATTTGTCTCATTGATTTTCGTTGCCCCTAGAAATGTAATTATATTTAATAGGAACCATGCATAGAAATACTCATTCGTTTACTAACCTGACAGACAGTTACGTCTTTTTCCAATGTTATGTCAGAAGGAAGGGTATAATTCGGTTGTTAAAAGCGTTTCCGATTCCCGAGTGATATTGAGCACGATCTGCCGTTACATATGCATTCACGGTTTCAAAACTACAAGCCGTACATCTTCCGCGTGCGGAAAACCGTATGTTTCTCTATAGTATTAAGAGGAGACCATATAGCGTTCATAAAATTTAGCGGTAGATTTGAGTAATATTGTAAACTGTACAGGCCATATTAGTAAATGCAGAGGCACGATGTTTAATGAACGAACATTTCACAGAATCGAAAACCTCACAATTAGGAACTTTTTAAAATCGAATTAAACTCTTCCTTCTAGCGCAAAATTGAACGAAGACGTAATTTTCTGCAGAATGAGCAAAGAGATGAATATTTTTATGCATATTTTCGATGAAATATAATTGAATTTTTAAGGGCATCGAAATTCAGTGAGAGAAATGCATGTTACTTATTTAGTCCTCTTTACATAGTATAATATCTGCATTCAGCCGAAAGGAAGTTCATTCGAAAGCCAGTATCTCGCGATAACTGAATTATTATGGAATGATGCTACACGTTGAGTAATTTTACAACTCTGCTTGAGTAACCTTTTTGAAACTAAAATTCATTTTAGGATTCCGGTGAACATTTCATGAGTTAACACACCTACTGCATCTGGAAAATGGCAAACAATCGCAAGCAACCCGCTAACCGTTACCACTAGATCAGACAAAAAGTTAACAAGTGAATGGCTTTAGGTGATATGAAGGGATGACGATGGATTGTGAGCAGCATTCAGCTTCTTAACTATAATGCATTGTTGGCAAAATCCCTAAATGAGTAAGGAGTTTTCCAGTTATTTACTTTAAGGTGGGACAGACTGCATAAAATGACACGGCGAGCAAGTTAGTGAGTAAAGCGCAGTACAAACGACATAATTCAAAAAACTCCCCTTTCCCAATCCAGGGTTCGAATTTTCTACCCTGCTGAAGTGTGTAGATTGTGTTCCATTCGACAAAGAGTTCTGGCTCGTCAACCCAGCTTTTTGATCAGCCATGGATTATAGTCAGTGGCAAAACAAAAAATTGATTACATACAGCATGACCGCAAGTCACTTGTTAGCCATTGAGTAAGTTTTTACCAAGTGTAACTAACAGCCGCTGTTTTACCACACACGGTTTACCGGACTTTATTCGCCTTGGTTGACTTGGACAGCGAGGGTTTGTTTGATGACTTGGCCAGAGAGATCGCTGGAATGCAAATTATCTAAGGTCGCAAGTCGAAAGGTTGGGTGGCAACTAAAATGGGATATAAATAGCAAGCGTAGCCCCGAAAAATCGCTGAGCACAGCTGTTCATGACAGTTTCACCCAATTGTCGGGAGATAAGGCAGCCTAATATTATGATAATCGAGAATAACATATAACAGCAAACCCCCAAAGCACTTGAATGGCTTGTTTGTTTTCAAGGAAGTATTTTCCGTTGCTCGAGTAAAAACGCCAGCTCATTGGAAATTAAAATGGATCTTCGCAATAATTATCCGCAATGTGTATGTTTAAGTCATATGAAAGAAATATCCTTTAGTTAGTTTCATACTTAGAATGACTTCACAAATTAAAAACCACGTCCAAAACCCTTCTTCTCATGAAGGGTCAACTGATACAGAAAAAAGTCTACTGTCCTGTTTACTTGAGCACAGCTTTCGCCGTGGTTTGTTATATTTGGTGGTCATATGCAATGTCCTTGGATATGCCCCCCAACCTGTTATTTTAAATATGGTACAGTATGCTCATGTAAGTAGTAGGGCTGCTGGGTTTCAACCTAACTAGTTACATCAATTTTCGGAAAGAACATGAGAAGCTTTCTGCCGGGGAAATTACTTCAAGGCTGCACATCTATTCCTGAGGGCGTTAAACGGATTAACGGTAAAGCATTTCCTAGGCGATTAGCATAGTAGTCGCTCGATTTCCTGGTTGCACATAAGCCGAATATTTAAGTTTCAGTCAGCCTATTTCGACGGCTTCTTCACCCACTGGGCTTACAGCAGCGATCGATGGCCGGAGATGTTGCAATTGGTCACTTTGAGGGATGGCCTCCGTCAAGGCCTACTTCGGTGTTAGCAGTCAGCCACAAATAACCGGCGATTTGCGAGTGCAGACATCTGACTGGTTAAAAATGGAAGAATACTTTGGCAGTAGAAGTTGAGAGGAGTTCCTTCAGTCAAATATCTTCTGCGAGAAACGACGAACACGTATAGAGGAGAAGCTCTGGTAGATGAATGGCGGCTTCTGTGCCATTTCTAAAGTGCTGGTGCTTGAATCTGGGTATTTGAAGTAGACTAGATAGATTCAAAAAAGAATAGCTTCGACTGTCCTGATTACTACACTTACCACCACGTAGTTTCTAGCAAGCTAATGAATGACATACGCTTTGTCTTAAAATCCCAATCAGATGGAAAGAAACATCGTGACTTTGCATGTGCCCCGAAACTGTAACCATTGCTGATCTCCTGGATGACTGTGTCCTGACACCTCTTTCATCTTCCCTTTTTATGCCTTTGGTGCCAAGATCTCTATTGAATATCTGTGATCATACTGGTTACATCAAAAAATCCTTGCCTGTTAATGGCAATGGCTGCATATAGATAGCAGGTATGGAGCATTCGGTCGGAGCAAACGTGTCTACTTCCGAACCGAAAGGACCGAATTAAACAAATAAACTTTTAAAATTACTTTGCTTCTTGACAAGCGATGGTAAAACATGTCGAAGCCCTCGAGCTGGTATGGCAGTGGGTGTGCTCTAACCAACGCAAACAACAGGTCAAATCCCAGTCAGCAGGAAAAAAACGAAATGAGGGATTTGCTCTGTACGAAACCCTCAGTTGCTATTTCAGACAGAAGTGGATACTGGCGAGGCCAGTGTGTGTGTGCCCCCCAAACGGGCCACGTGGTAGATGCGCTCTGACAGGCGTTATCGGCTTTGCGCACCGTAACAAATGCCAACATTTCGGGGTGCGATGACAAACCCAGTTGCTGGCGTACGTGGCGCAAACTGGGACTCTCCCACCCCCCTCCCCCCATCGTTGTGGCTGATAAAAAACCTGGTTATTTGTTGTGTGGATCAGGGGGTGTGGCGTGGAGAGTCAAGGCGCGGGCTCGACCGTGCCATCCACCTTCACCCTCCCCCGCCTTCGGTCTTCTTGACTCTGTCTTGACACCGGGTCCAGGTGGGGGAGAAGGGGGTGCGGTAGATGCTGTGCAAGTATACATTTACTATAAACTAGTTCACGCGCAAATCACCGTGCCTGCTTAACCTTGCCGTGAAGCACACGATGGGCATCGTCGAATGCGACGGTCGAACTGTTGTGTGTGTGCGTGTGTGTGTTTGTGACGGTACTGTCAGGTTGTATCTGCTGCTTCTCTAAGTTTGTCGAGTGAGCTCAAGTCGCCCGTATAAAAGTCCACGTGCATTTCGACCCATGAGATATGGTAGATTCTGACCGTGTGGACATCTGTGCCTCCTGTTGCAAACAGTTAAGACAATTGATCGGACGGCAAGCCTAGCGCACCTGAGAGGTGAGAAACACCGAGGCGGTAGGAAGCCGAACAACGGTGCTCCGTCCCGTTCTGACGTGGGTTGGCTACAGCCCCGCGGTTATGTCCCGACGAAAAAAGCAAACTTTGTGCATAACCGCTTAAACTGGAGACCCCTCTCAACAGAAAGGGGGGGATCGGGTAACAAAGTTGGGATGACAAACTTGAACAGTCTACTGGGCTCCCAACGTGGCATTTAGTCTCTAAACAAGGTTTGAATGTCCCTCGGACACTCGATCGTCATGGCAAAATTACGGCCCCGAAAAAAGCCCTCATTATTTGCCAGCGTGGTTGATTATGATTGACACGCACAGGCCGATAGACACGACAACGGTCGCAGCTGTAGAACTAATCAAGCGCGAGCGATCTACCCGATTGGGGGAGGATTTGTGTTTAAATTGGGTAATTATCAGTTAAACACTATGGCTACCCGCATGAAGGGCGTCACCCCCACCCGAACGCCCGCTACTCTGAGGCTTGACCCCACCCCAGCAACAAAAGAGGGCAAATCTGAAGGCTATGGATTCAAAAAAGAGAGACCTTTAGAGAAAAAGGTCAGACGTGGTTTTGTAGCCCCACCTGAATTAAGCAAACCCCAGCCACCTGTAATACGAGACCGGTGGTAATAGGGACTTTTACAGGTGGGGCCAGGGAACGCGCATGCGACGAGGTCGAATAATTGTGTTCAAAAGAAAAGCTATTGGGAATGCGCGGTTGTACTTTGAGTGGCCGAGAAATAGATGCCCTAACTCCTAACCCTAACCCCAACAGTATTGTGTCCATCAGGTGGGGCTACATAACCACATCCTACCTTTGTCGCTCCTTTTCGAATACGCCTCAAGGGAACGCGACAACTGTGCCATGGACAGAGGTTGCAGTGGACCTGCCGAAAACCTTGTTTCGACTTCCGATTGACGCAAATTTGTCAGGCTAATGTCCTGTAAGGCAGTTTGCGTGCCTAGGGTAACACTCGATCCTTATAAAGCCGGCGGAGCATCATTCTTGTCTGGTTCACTAAGTCTAATCCAGTCCCTCTAGTGAAGACATATGTTCGGCTCGTAGGTAGGCACCGCCTGTGTCCCCACAGGACACGGGAATAGGAATTCTTTAATACAGGGAATTAGGATTGGAATTAAGGGTATGCTTGGGGTTCATATTATGGCTGCGCTTAAGGTTTGGTTTATGGTTGGTGTTGGGGTCAGCACACGAGAATAAGTAAAATTCCTAGAATTTAATGCAAGGCCATATGTACTGCGGGGGTCATTCCTATTCCCGCTCTGCCGGGGCCTACGCAAGTGACCCTTAGAAGTGTGCACACTCATCTGTCCGTATCAGTGATACGATGAATAACAAAAAATGAAAAAGTTTCAAATCATGCTAGCTTGTCGAGTTCGTGCAGCCGACGGCACATTGTGTTCCCAGTTCGGGGTAAGGGAGATGCCTATAGTAATCGAAAACATAGATCGGTTTACTAAACGAGGTTTTGAAAGCGAACTAGGAGCGAAGTCGGCGAAAAACAGTACACAAAAGTGTGTAAACTACAAAGACGGGTGGATCGACCACGATTTTTTTGGAGCCAGACTTCATATTACTCGTTTACCTGCCTGCTGTTTTCTTTCATGTTGAATTCCACGTTTGTATAACTTTATTATCAGTTTTTTCACCTGCCTATCCAACATTTCTTGGTCCCTTCCAAGCTACGGTGAACGACTGATCTCATGAAATGTTGGCCGGAATTCTGAAATGCGTTTTCGATTGAGAAGGATTTCTTACGTGGGGTTGCAATACTGACTAGCTTGAGGCATAATCCTATAGTATTTCGGACTCGCCAGGATGGTGACTTTTGAATGCACTCCTTTTCGACCGCCTCTGAAAAAACATACTGGGTAAAGAATGGCTACTTAAATAAAATTCACTTTTCACATTGATTCTCGACATTCTTGTAAAGTAGAATATATTTTATAGAAAACGTACGCAAAAATGTGCTTTCTATTACTCGCTTGGTAGAAAATCACATTATCTTTACATTTTATACCCTAAGAAAGGCTATCTTTCGGTTTTAAGAAGACTGTTTATTATGAGGTTTTTAAAACCGTGCGATGTCCATACACACAACATCGCACATGCCCGTTCACCAATGCTCCTTATGAAATGTACAACATAGTCCGCACCCATTGCAAAATTTTATAAACTCCATACAGTATCTTCTTAAAGGCATAGAGAAATATATGATTTTCTTTACGCGGAAAGTATGCACTTTGTAGACTGCAATCGCTAAAGATTAATGCACCGCCTGGTCTGGCTCAAAATTATCCGAGAATCGGGAAACTTTTTCAAAACCTAAATATACACTTTCCCCGGGTATAAAATGTGAAGACAATGTAAGTTTCTACCAAACGAGTAACAGGAAGCATATTTTTGTGCATGTTTTCTATAAATCATATTTTTATTTATAAGACCATCGAAAATCAATGTGAAAAATGTATGTTACCTAAGCAGTCATTTTTACCCGGTATGGCTTCTACAGGAGGTCGAAAAGAAGTGCATTCAGAAGCCTCCATTCTGGCGAGTTCGAAATACTATAGAATAATGCCGCATGATAATCAGTATTACAACCCCCACTTAAGAGATCCTTCCTAATCGAAAACGCATTGCAGAATTCCGGCCAACATTTCATGAGATCGGCCATTGACTGTATCCAACCATTTGGTCATACTCTATCAAATACTCCAACTGCGGACAAATAGATTTCCGTTAATTAATCCTCACTGTGTTTAGCTTCCGTACGACTATTAGTAAAAATCCTAAGTCTGTAATTCGTTATTTCATCGGTAGTTGGAACGGACTTTCCACCGAGACCTACAAGCGCGTTTGGTTTCTTCGTCCGGAGCACTGTATACCAAACATCATGCAGCCTAACACTAGCGTGCCAGGAGGGGATTCAGGGTGTACCATGCAAAGTATCCGAAGTTGCGTTAGTTTTTTTAAATCACGTTTACAAAAGCGGAGTAAGAGTGCAAGCGTACGTGCTGGCATTGGTATCCCTCACAAAAGCGGGAAACGTGTTATTGACTCCTTCTCCATGTGACCTCTGCGGTACTATAACGCATATGCGATCCGAGTAGCCCACCCCTTTGTGCGGGAGGCCAGGTCCTATGTGACATGCGCAGATGGACTATCTGCCAGTCAATGCGCTCAATCCCAGAGTCAGATGACTGACCGACTCGGAGCGTGGACTGGTATCTGGGCGAGAGAATAGAGAATGAGGCTGACTCTAGGACCCCTCGTCGCTTCAACCAATTACAATAAATCTGACGTACTCGAATCTCTCATGACCTGCCACATGTCGTGAGTTGAAAGGTTGTAAACTTGCGACGAAACTCAGCCCTCACAGTCAGCGCTGCGTGTGTTTGCGTGGAGTGGCCGACTGGTGGACTGACAGTCGGGCTGCCACAGCTCCTTCTTAACATGACCCCTGGCACTCTGACGACGTAAGATCTGAGGAGCCTATCGCCTGGTGCCTTATGTGGGTCGTGTGCAGCGTACGCAGACGGGCTATCAGCTGCGCCCGATCCCTGCATCAGATGACTGACCAGCTCCAATGGTAGACTGTTGCCTGAAAGAAGGAAGAGAGGGTGGAGTCGATTCTGGGGACAGCGTTCCCATGGAACTCGGTTCATATTCCTCACTTCGAACAATCGGACGCGGTTTTAAACTACCACGGTGCGCTAAAAGCCGGGGCTTGGAAGGCTGCCAACTGACCGGGATAACTCGGCCCGCCTATCAGGACGGAGAGTCAGGCTCCGATGACCCCTTCTCATGGCACTTGGTTGGGATCCTGGCGGTCCCTTTATTGTTTCTGTGACAACCGTGTCCATCGTGTGGGGACCAGGCGTGCGTGGACGTACTGTTTAGCTTTGTCAGTCACTGCTTCCGATCCTGCTTCCGGTTTTCCTAACTCAGGCTTGTCACCGGGCCCGAGGAGGGGGGAGGGAGGACGGGGTGCGGCAGATGCAGCGCAAATGTACCATCACTATAAATAGTAGGATAGAAGTAGCCATTCCAAGCCCCCTTGTCTTCGTCGGCCGTCCATCCTGCACATATAGAACTAACGTAAACGAGCACGCGGCTCCCAAACCATACGTGAGAAGGAAATGTAACTTCAAAGTTCACGACTTTGACCTACTTTGTGAATGCACATATACCCATGACAGTTCGACCGTCGTTGCCGACGATGTCCATCGTATGCTCCACAGCAAGGCGAAGCACACGCGGCGACTTGCGCGTGATCTACTTTATAGTAAATGCGGACTTCCGCAGCATCCGCCGCACTCTTTCCCCTTAATGACCCTCATCCACCTGGACCCGGTGTCAAGAAGACCGGAGGCGGGAGAGGGTGGAGGTGGATGGCACGGTCGAGCCCGTACCTTGGCGTTCAACTCCACTCCTCCTGGTTCACGACAAACGCTTGACCAGGTTTTGGCCAACAGCAGCAACACCCCAACAGGGGTCAGAAGGATGAGGATGACAGGGCAGCCATGCCTACCACATGTACACCCAGCGAGAGCGCAAGCGCATCTACCGGCAGAGAACCGGTTGTCAGGGAACTGCCAGCGCATACTAGGCCGCGATGGCTAGGATTTCCTGATACGGGCATAGCGCACGCTTTCAGACCTTTTGACACACACCCACCATAGTCCCAACGTCGTAAGCAACGCGGCTCACTAGCCCACTATCAAGGTGGGCGCAGCCGTTGACGGCGCTTTGATCTGCTTACAATTAACGAGACACTCATTTTTCTGCGTTTTGACGTAAGACAAAGTAAAGACTGCCCGAGACAAGGCTAGGCGGCCAGTCTATGAGTTCCACACAGGACCTAGCTCCTAACCCTACAGGCACTGAACTTCTTCAAAAGGGATGTCTGTGAATTCACACGGTGGGAGTATCATAAAGGCCACACTAAGAAGGAATTGTTTTAGTTTGGCTCTTGTCCCAAAGGAGGGCCGGGTTAACACGCCGGTCAGTGGTTCTCGAAATCACGTCGTTTAGAGTCCAGTGAACTTAGTCTCGTGGTGGCTGGGGAACTCTTCAACTATCCTCACTATATGGCAGCATAATCTCGGCAGCATCTGAGATTGTGAATAGCATGGATTCTAAGCACGCCTGGTGCGTAAACTACTTTAACCAAACGTACGGCTGCTTAGACATGTCAGATCTCTGCCAAATTTCACGGTCAGAATTAGCCTAGATAGTCTACGGGGTGGAACACTGCGCCCACCGTAGAACCTTTTTGGAAGGGGACATTTGGACTGATGAGAGAATCACCTCGTGTGGAGACAGTGGATATCCTCTCATGGCTTAGCTCATCCGTTAAGGACGGTTACCGGGGTCTGACAGTCGTGCATGGCTTTGCCTCATGGAGGTGTAGACGAGGGCTGTGCGGCAGGGTCGAAAAATATAAAGAATCCGAACATATTCATCGGCAAAACAGGTGGGAACTGCTAATACATTCCCATGGAATGGCCAACCCAACGTATCCATGAGCACTTAGTTACTGAAGCATAGCAACGCCAGTCCCTGTTCATGACGCTGGACACTACGAATGAACTCACTCTACGTAGTTCTCATTTACACTGATAGATTCTTACTAGCCCATTAAACAATCCCCTTGATTATACTCGGATAGGCGTCCTCGTTTGCCTTCTCTTTCAAGTACACTGGGGTTCTGAGACATGCCTTCCCCTCTGCTTTTCCCTGCCCTCTCTCCTCTAGTGGCTGCAAAGATGGCCTCCGTGAAGTCACAGCCCGGCGATAAACTGGTGTTCCCAAAACAGACACACAGCGAAATACAGAAACCCGGCAGGACGTGGAGGCTGCGACGCAGCCTACCACACCCCAGCGCGGAGAATGAGGATCTCGTGATCATCGGACACAGCATTAGCTGGCAACGTTTGGCCAACGCCTTCGAGGCGGCGGCTTCCAAGCGGTCACTCGTAACCAGGCTGTGGAAACCGGCGGATGAGGGCAGCACAGCCGCCAGCAGCGACCAGTCGACAGCGCTGCGGAGACCGACGCCTCAGCACAACAGCGAGATCAAAGTGGCTCCTTGAAGCACAAAACAGTTCCTCGTGGACACCAACCTGGTGGTCCAGTGGCGATTAAATTGTTATTATCGAAACCCAGCGGTCTCACAGCTGGGTACACCCCCAGAACTGATAAAAGAGTTACTTACATTCTTTCCACCCAAGATTACAACAGTGTTTGCTTTTTTTCGAGGGAGGGTCTGAAGAATTACTGCAAAAGCTTAGATGCGGAGTGGGAGAGGAGACAGGAGTGCGTGCCATAGGGACAAAATCGTTCCACTTCGAAGATACTTGCAAATTTACCGATGTCACTGAAGTACTTATGGTGGTCTCGCACCTGTACTATGACGGTCAGACGATACACTTTAACGAAGTCTGAAGATTCAATTAACCGACCCGGAAAATTACTCTTCAAATATGTTTTCGGTAGATTCTCCGCAGGCCTGTATAATTCTGCAGCAAGCTTGTCTTGGGAGAGATTACAAAACAAGACTACTTTTAGTCGGGTGCGGACACATTAGAAATTCGCCAGGGTCGGAGTGAAGCGTGGTAATGTCGTCGGCAACTTCGAGGAGTTATTCCGTCTGCAGGCGTTTTGATAACCGTATTTCGGTTAGAGTACCTGCACTACCTGCCTGAGCGTACTTTTATCGCAAACACAGGAGCGGTTTGCGCCTCGGGACTACCGTCGTCTGCACTGCGGCTGGTAGGCTCTGTCACAAGCGACTATATCAGTTCTGTGACAGAATGGACTACCTGGAAGGCTCAACAGGAGCCCAGACAGAAGAGCAAATGGTGCAGAAAGTCCACATCAGTTTACAGGAATATTCGCTAGTAGGTCAGCAAGAGTGAAGTACAGACATTAAACAACTATATCCACTTAGCTTTACAAGATACCGTACTAGTAGGACAGGTATTAGCTAAAACCTCGGACACGCGTGTGTTGCCGACATTCTGCCACTGTACGATACGACGGCGAGGGGTTCGGCTCATCAGTGGGTCCCCCAGCATTGACCATATGCTTTCTAGTAGATACTCCAGTTTAGTTGGACTACGGCCCAACTATTCATGCATCAAATTTCGATCTTAGCCTACAGACCTTAGTATAAGTTGACTTACTCCAAGGTAGCAGTTGATTTCTGAGGAAATTAAAAAAACAACAGTTATATGCCCGCCTACCTTACAGGCACTGCCCATAGGGTTAACACAAATAAAACTTTGCCACAGATCGACCGGAAGTCCATGCGACAGCGCCTACCATCAGACAGATCGCTCGTTGCAAACTATGACGCCCACTGCGTACCCAACGGAAAATGGCTGCAGTGGTGGAGTACGATTTGCGGCCTGGAAGACCCGATACTGTGTAGATCCTACCGTCTCCGCAGGCCAAGATAAATCAGCCAACGCCTGCATGCAGTTCTACGTGTGGTGATTGTGAGAAGTTACTCCCCCTACTAGCAAAATGCGCTCTGAACGAGCTCGCACGGAGCTCGTTTTGCGAGGTACGCGAGCTCTGCTGGAGCTCTGAAGTGGTCATCGTTCAGAGCTCGTACGGAGCTCGCGAAAACGAGCCCAAAATTAGCTCTGAAAAACGGGCTTGCGAGGTCGTTCCGAGCTTGACCCGAGCTCCAAAACGCGAGCTCCAGCGCTTACGCATCCAGGGGTCCCCCTCACTTGTACAGCCCCATTCCCTTTATTTTCCCATTGAAGTAACTAAAGAAACACATGTTGCGTCAATGTCGGCCGGATCGTCCAGACCGAAAAGTCCTTGAACAGCCCATGTCTGTGATTTCTACTTCCACTTTCCACTTGCTACGCGACTGTACAGACCTGGTGTAAGGGATCGTAAATGATGGTGTGATGCGTAGGTGTGGCATCTGAGGCGGCATGCAAGCAACGCATTCCGGCACAGACCCTGGGCATATCAATAATCATTAGTGCCATGGTTGATTTCTGGACTTGAAAAGGGCCTTCCGCACTATTTTTTGCTCAGAATCTGCCGAGTTTCCTTTGCTGAGTGCTTTCTCGCTGTCTTCCCTACGATTCTGGATGATTCTGCGCAAAGAACTGTTTCAATGACTGTACCAGGCCACGAGCCCGTCCCTGTTCCGAGCAGGATGTAGTTGTGACTCTTGTGTCAATTTCTTCCTTGAAAGACGGATATTCGTAGCATCTAAATCACTTCGCACTTTGATTGCAAGGCAAGTCTAAGACGACTGGAGACGTGCGCAGACACAGTGGCTAAAAAAGCCAAACAAGCCAGCTGCGCGTGGCGAGCATGACCTTGTCCCCAAAGCCACACGCACAGTGCTTCAAGGATATAGGGGTGTCACAGTTCTAACAATGGCGAGTGTGCCATGCAAGCCATAGCGAGAAGAAGCCATGGCCGGCGGATTGTTAGTCCTGAACAGGACCACCTCGTCCTGCCAGTCAATAAGCCTAAAACCTGAACTGCAAATGCGTTGCGCTGGTTTAAAAAAACCGGCGGAGTAACTGTACACAGACGCCGGCTATAGCGGCATATTTTGAGTTCCCAAACCAAACATCTGAAGGCTTACTACTACTTAAATCATCAGTAGGCAGGAATGATTCGACGATAGCGATAGCGCACAGCAAAGGTAACTCGGTCACGTCTCCATTGGGCAAACCGCAAGAAGGTTTGGACATGGGAGTCCGACCTTAGAAACGAGTCGAGCATCCCCTATCTTTGAAGGTCTGAGGACTAGTCTATTCTTAAGGTAGAAAATCCTGGAGTGTTCACCCTCCCATCATTGCGTGAGAATATTACCGTGCTGACTGAACTCATAAAAGCGGATTTCGTCTCGGTCGGCATAATAGCGCCGCTTGAGCCAATCGGCTTACCCTGGGCGCCCATGATGAAAGCCGACAAAGTTACCCTCGAATTCCTTCATTCCCCAGACACCACTCCTCCGATCTTTATTGTCCAATTCATCGAACAGCGATACAATGCCATCTGTTCCTCAGCGTCGATGTTAGAACTTCAGATCGGCATAGGCTGTTCAGGTCTAATTTTTGGTAAGAGATACATATATTGATAGAATACACTATAACGGCGTCTCGTCAGGAAATCGGGTGTCTTTCTTCGTTTCTGTGAACTCTAAGCCGTAGGGGACCAGCTGTCTACCTCCGAACGCTGGACGTCCTCCACTCCACTGAGGGGACAGCTCGCAAGGCACTTAAAGCCAGGACAGTTGAATAGAGCAGCTTCAGAGTCTGGTGAGGTTTTGTCAGTATCACTCACGCAAGTGACCAACATCCTGGCCCACCAGTGCACTCACCGACACCAGACGTGGGTATGGGAGCGGCTGGCCAGGGGACACTTGCAAATCCATCACACGAGGACTGGTGCGCTGGTGTCAGGAGCCCCAGTATACAGGTGTCGCACCCACCCCACCAACGCGTGGGTTCACTCGGTCAAATGAGACTTCATGTAAACCCGTGGTAAAGTACTGCATACCTTACCTCCATCGGCCCGCACACTACACACGAACCCGCCTCACGACGGCCGACAGAACATGCCCCCCTAGCATCAGCGGAAACCATGTTTTTGGCACAATCTGGTACCTAATCAAATCGTGTGTAGCACACGTACACGAGCGATTGCAGCGTTGCCGGCCGAGACACACCGAATGACTGACGGGATCGAACATTCAACTGGTGCCTAGAGGAAGGAGGAGTGATACCGACTCTGGCACTCATTCCCACAGCAAATCAGCGCATATCCCGTTATAATAGGTCAGACACACTTAAAACTATCATGATGCACCAAGAATGGTGGCTTGACAGATTGTTAAATGACGTGATAACTCTGTCTGCGTGGTCAGTACCACGTACGAGGGGTGACTAGTGTGAGGACTGGGAGCCAGCCTCAATAACTCTCCGAGGTGGTCTTGGTGGCGCTCCCGCGCGCTCGAGACCCGTAAAAACCTGACCGTGTGCAGGCGGGCCGTCCAGCTCCGTCAGCCACCGCGCCTGAGCCCACAGTCGATCGTTCTCAAATTGGCTTATCTTCGGAGCCCGGTACGTGAGGGAGTTGAGCGCGGCATTATAAACCGATGGGGCACACGGTGGACGTCGTCACTCGCTAAGGTCGAACCCGCAGATGCCCAAATCAGGGTGGGCATTAGTAATTTTACCATTATTAATGGCGCTGCGAGAATCATAAGCGGGTGGTTAGAGCGACGTCAGTGCGGTAGGCGTAGGCACTTGGTTAGCCGGTGATTATGGTCGATTCAGCCGGTCTAGATGGCCACACGCGACGATCGCGGCGGCGGGTCTAGACAGCTCAAGTCGTTGTCTTCTCCAGCGAGGGAGACCGAATATGAAGGATTCAGAAACCACTCCCAAGCCTTGATGAACCGTTTCGGCCTAGGTCTCGAGTTGACCTCATCCTCGACGCCTCCAGATGGGGAGAAACGCAGGTTCAAGGGTAACAGTACGTGAGACGGAAGACGAAAAACACGCATAAACCACCCCAATTGCCTTCCTTGGATGGAATGAGGTACCCTCGCTATATTGTCGCAGCAAATGCGGACTGCCTTGTTTGAAACTAAGTCGATGTGCTTCACCTGAAGGATGGTCCTGAGACAGCGGTGGTCAGGTACCTCCAGCTTTCCCTCACTTTCAACGTGCAAGGTCAGCATCCACAATCGCAGAGGACTGACCGGACTGATGCACGGCGATCTTGGCGATGCAGGTGTCGCAGCAGGTCCACAGGCACTAAGGATTGAGAAAACCCTGCGAGTTGTATCAACTAGGGGGACAGTGTTGTCCCTATTCTGTTCACTAGGCTGCAGCCTCGTCCAGAGGTATCTGAACCTGTCTACTTCGAGTTGACAGCCATTAATCCTAAGGAATGTCTTGCCCCGTTCAGCGATGCAGCTCGAAAACAATTCGTCTTTCCCGGAGTTAACCGATAAACCGAACGAAATGGACTCCACTCACTCCTGACACTTCAGATAGTAGACCACCAGAGCTTGAGGTTAGCAAGAAAATATTATCAGCGTGGTCGAGATCAGTCAACCGGCATCCCGGTGTAAGCACACCGTTAAAACCGTATAGGACCCCCATTCGTGATTGCAGTCAGTGACTTAGTTGAACAGAGTGGGCGACAGGATACAAGCCCGTCGGACAGCAGATCGGACGCCGAACGATTGCGAGTTTGTTGTGGACCAAAACGCGCATAGCGGTGGGGCGATAACAGGTCCTGATCATAGAGATGACTTTGACCGGCACACCAGCTTGTTTCATTACTCACCGCAGAGGCGAGGTTGACTGTGGTGGTGGAGTCAACAAAACAGACAGCCATCGGAATTTCAGAATTCGCCTCAGCGTGAATATCTGTTTGGTGAATCCACACACACCTTGGAACCCAGTTTCGATGGGCCCCGTCCCAGACACAGCCCGCAATCGTCTGAAGGGGGCAAGAGAGAAGACCTTCGCCACAACTTCCATGTAGTCCTTGCACCTTAGCTTATCACCTCGAAGATAAACACATGAACGCCGTAGCCCTACATGATATCGACACACCCTAAGACACCAAGGGCAAAAGAGAACGCAGATTGCAGAAGAACCGACAAAACATCCGGAGCAGCGCCGTGACAGGGAGCCTCCCTGATTGGGGCCAAGGCGGTTCCTCACGAAAGTGCCCAGCCGGACGCTCGGTGTCACGCGCCCTGGGCAGGCCAATGTACACGACGCCTACGCCCGAAATTTCACTGCGCGATCGACTGCAATGAGTTGTTCCACAGCAACCTGGCAGGTTCAACGGCATTACCAAGAACGCATAGCGAAGGCCGGTGCGCGTCCTACTGCGGAAGACACCCACCCAGGCCAACCTTCTGCCGACCCATGGAGAAACTTATTCTGAAGACCGCCTGAAACTACGTGTGGGAACCCTGCCTTCAGAAAACGAATTTGGAATCCAACAGCCCGTATAGCACGCCTGCAAGACCGCTACCTCAAATCATCTCTCCTGTCAGGTTGAACATGAGGCCATGACTCACTGACCCGACATTCGGAGGTATCAGACACATTCTGAGGGTCCAATGTTCCTTGCTGACTAAATATCACACGGCCATTTCGCGTCACCGGTCACTCGGCAGACTTAGCCTGTTAATGATACTGCAGGGAGAAACAACTTCCGATGGGGCAACCAACATACAGTAATTTGCGCTATTAGGGCAGCGAACATATATAAAGACAAGGCAACTGGCGACAAGATTATATTAAAGATGATAATTAAGCACCGAAAGTGTGCACACGGAGTCGGTAAAAAAAATACCACATCGTGCTTCTTTGTCAGTAGGAGGCGTAGTCCAACCCACGTATAAGTGATGACTACCATAAGGCATGCCGGCTCTACCTAAAGTGCATACAACAAATGGTGACCAAGTATTGACACATTGACTAGGATCAGAGATAAGGTAACTTCAAGACTCAGAGTGAGCTAGGAAACTCATCACACAGCGAGTGTCGTTGCATGCCTACCTGAAATCCAAGGCATTCCTCTCATTGGCAGCAGAGACAAATCACGCACACTGAAGCCGACCGAGCTGCGGACGTCGTGGTGCCCACTGAAATGAAATACGGTCTAAGTACAGGGAATGGTCAGAATGTAAACTAGCTATCGTCACGACTCGGTGAGCTGGGTGGATCATCACGAACCAGACTTACACATTGTTTCCAAATCCCGGGTTTTGGAAGGATGAAGGGGAGCGGTTGTTAGTAGATAAGGCCAAGTACAGCTAAGCTACAGAAAACAGCGCCTATTGTAGATTCGAGGGAATTCATACATCAGAACTCCCAACCGGTACACGGAAGACGTAGACAATCAACAGCATCGTAATTTCTAGTCCTTCGAAATCAGCAATCATGGCCACGACTCAGCGGCACTGCCGTCACGACAACTGTCCACAAGACGGAATCTGAAATATTAAGACGGACCTCAACGAAGGCAACAATTCAGAAAATAAACAAATTGTCTTCACAACTCGGTGAGCTGGGTGAGTCATCACTAGACCTACCGAAGAAACACGGAACAAGTCAAGTGGCCACTAGGGATCGCGCAGTGGGCAATTGGCTCACGCGGACATGATAAATCCCTGGGAGGTATGCAGTGCTACGTGGACGTCGCGCAGAGACCATCTACGTACGAGTGACGGGCACGATCCATCGGACCGACACACACCAACACGAGACCACGTGACAGCCACATTTGGGCGGGAGTACGCAGACCTCGAAGACTTAAACAAAACCCTCGACGGTCCGTAGGCTCATTACACAAAAGGCATTAAACCAAATTCGAAGCATCTATGCCCAAGTTTTGTATTTGATTTTTACTCAAGATTTTACTCAGAGCACGTGGAATGTTGAGCAGAGTAATTTCCCATGTGTAAGAATATGTATGTATCCCAAACCAAATCTGCGTATTGCAAAGCTCACATACCTATATAATTATCCAGACGCGTCGTTTACTCTAATTTGAGGAAACAGGTTCCAAAATGACGGGATACCACTTTGTTACTGGCCATTTTAGTACTATACCCGAAATGAATATAGGAGGGCGTTCCGGAATCCAGAAAGTGAGATGTTAGAAGCTCTGACGAAGGCAGAGCTAATCAGAGCTGCTTGCACTGTTTAAAAGAGAGGGTAAGATACCAAAATAATTCGGGGCAAAACGAAATAACAGAACTTGGAAAAACAGGTGCAAAAGAAAATTCTAGGGTACTTGGCCAGCAGACATAATGTTCGCTTGGAACATTCATCGTTCATCCAGCGCGACCAAGTCTAGAGAAAATCATGCATTAACGTATATGAAACACAGATATGGAGAGGGATTGGAACTTTTATACTTTTTTTCAGAAGGATGACATACAGCGACAACATGACAGCCGATTCCGACGATTTTCACCGTGCGTCCCACCGCAGGGTTGGCTCCGGGACGGAAGCTGGTGCGTGAATGAGTTTATAGTAATAGTAGACTCGTAACCATTTGCCGCACCTTCTCCTCTTTTCGGACCTGGGTCCGGAATAATGCCAGAGTCGAAAGCAGAACAAAGACGCTTTGCTTTGGTCGGTCCCGAGGTCGAAGTACGTTTTGTGTTGTCCGTGCTTTTCGGCGAATAGGCTGCTGATACGTGTATAATGGTCGTCAAACCAGGTCTGGTGCTGACGGCCTGCGCCTCCGAGGACATTGTGGGCTGTTAAATGGATAACTTTCCACGGCTGACACCACAGTGGCGTTATTGCCTGGAGCCTGCAAATCTCGCTGTCGCTTAGTCAGTTGATTGGTGGTTTCAGTTCATTTCATTTCAGTTTATTGAGGGAAATAGGCGTTAACCTTTGAGTACTCTCTTGCAACGTGAAAGTATGTGGTGTACAGAGAAATATTCTGGGCTGAAATAGTTCAAACAAGCCCATAATGGTAGGACAAATTGGGAACGAGTTACAGGGTGTTCTTTTTAAATCGTTCTATAGATGGTGACATCACAACATCTGCGGGAAGGGCATTCCATTATTTGACCACTCTAACAGAGAAGGAGAACTTCCGTACATCCAGCCTTGCCTGCTGAGTGCGCAGTTTAAACGGGTGACCTCGGAGGTTGGTCGGGGTTGCAAATCCAAAAAAGTCCTCCAAGGTCAGGCTGCAATTTAACCCCTTTACAATGTGGAACGCTTGCAAGAGATCTCCACAAAGTTGCCTCTAACTCAGACGGAAGAGGTTCAGATTTACTAGGTGGGTCGCATAAGGAAAGGAACTTTGACCCCTAACCATCTTCATGGCTCTCATTTGAACTCTTTCGAGGCAGTTTCGATCCTCAACCGCCCACGGTCTACAGGCTTGTATGCCGTACTCCAAATGCGGCCAAACGAATGCTCCGAATGTCTTTGAGAAAGCGTCTTCGTCAAAATCCATAAACGCACGCTTGATTGCGTACGGTTTGGAAAACTTAGAAAACTTAACACATTATTCGAAGTGCTCAAAGTGCCAAACGATACATATGCATATACCTCAGTAGCTATTTCAAGTACACTTGGGTTCTAAAACGTTCCACAATGCTAGTTGTCGTCAAGTGGTAATGTAAACGTCATCGTCTTCGATCAAGGAAGCCGTACATGCAGACGCTGTCAACACTACACAGCAATATACAATGTACAAATAAGTGGTTTACATATAGCGCCAAGACAACGTTGATCGGCAAGGCATATCCTTATTTGATGTGCTGAATGCTTTATGGTGAAGCATGTTATACTGGTCTAGTTTACTCTCAAGAACGTCTACAGATATTGACATAACGTCATCGACAGGCACCAAATGTCGCGCTATCACAACCATGTTGTAGAAGACAACTTCCGTAGTCCTAGCCTAGCTGCAGTCAAAATACTCTAAGTTTCTAACCTCGAAGGTTTGTTATGGTAGCCTACTTCATGAAGGCGCTAGGCAAAAGTAAAAATCCTGACTACAGGTGATTCAGAATAGCTGTGCCAAGATATCTCTTAATTGCCTAAGGCATAACGACAAAGGTCGAATGTAGACAAACGGGCCTTTGATAGGGGAGTGAACCCTGTCTTTTGAGTAGTTTGTTTGAACATCCCTGTCCTTTTTCGCGATCGTCACTGTCTTTAGCGGTCCACGATCTCCAGGCTTGGGTCGTTTTTACTCTCAAAAGATTCAATGTTGTCGATTATTAACCCTGTATCCCCCGACGTGAATATCACTTAATAATCTTTCTAGTGACAGAATTAAATAGGCGGAGCTAAGGAAAGGCCGACAGATAGCGGTGTCGAACCCCTGCACAGTGATACGCAAGACAACGCGCCGCACATCATGCAAGGGACACCCAGACCCAGACAATGCGTTGATTGTTGATCGCAGAACCTCATTGGAGGGGCAGAAGTCAGCTAGGGAGGCGCTGGTGAGAAAAAAAGCGGCTTAGAGTCCAAATATTTATCACTACGGCTCACAGAAGCAGTTACTCAGTCATTATGTAAAACATTGGCAGTTCTGGTGTTTATTGGCCTATAAGTGTGAGTTGAAGTAGCTAAAATGCTCTGTCATAAGCAGACCATCCATTGACTAGTTTGAATGAGTAAGAAAAGATTTATACTGTGTGCTAAGCGGATTTTAAAGTTGTCGATGCATTTGAAATTTGACAGTCTATGGAAACCTGAGCTACATGCCTGAGCAGTCTTTTCAGGGGTGCGATAATCCTCATTAAAAAGTGGCTACCTATCTTCTTTTCACGGGATACTTATCTAAATATAGGAGTGCGACTGATAAAAAATCCGAATCGTGGTTATGAAAACTATGGGCAGTCTCGCATATTTTAGTTAAACCGCCTTATTAATTAATTTGGCCTGTGCTAAGGAGGAATTTGTATAACTACTCTAGGCTTTCCACCACAAGTAAAAATCGGGGCTGGTTGAAAATATCGTATTTTGAAAAAATTTTTCGTCCACGAGGTCAGGAGACCGCAATTCAGGAAAAATGGCAAAAAATGGGCTGGAAAAATCACATTTAACGAATACTGAAATGGTCTTTGGTGGTACTTTGGAGAGGCATTTAAATGAGCGGAAGAAAATAGAATCCGTTCAACACTTTTTTACTAAGAAAATTTTAACCCCAGAACACCGACATTTGTCTTACCAAGAACGTTGCCGGCTTACAGGCCTCGATCCTTTATGGTTCCGTAGATTACAAAAGGGACTATTTTTGCTATTTAAACTCTTATATAATCACACATTTAACCCGCTCACCTCTTTAAGACATCATATCCACCCACGACGTAACAGTCACCGTGAGGTCTTCTTATTTCTGCCTCTGGCACGTACTGTTAAATATCGTCGGTTCTTTTCTGTAAATGCAATTGCTATTTGGAATAAACTACCCATGAGTGTGAAAACTCTGCAAAATTTTCCTTTATTTAAGAGAACCATTACTCGATTTTTGCATTCAGAAAAGCTCCCACAAATTGTGAGTGCTGAATCTACTGATCGACTGTACCGTAGCGATGGCGTTTGTGGTCTCTGAGCACTATGGCCGGTCTCACCAGCTGTTCCTCAACGCCTCTACTTTGACTATCCCCAACTTCATGAAAGGAATTTGACGTCCGATAATCTCCGATACCGTGCAACCTCCCCCCTTCTTGACGGTCGATATTCTACCACCGCCGACAGTTTTTTTTCTCCTGAGCCCTCCAAACCACAAAAACCACCATCAACTATATTTTTATGCCTTAAGCTCAGGAGTTTTTTTTTCACTGCTGGTCGGATTTGTGTTTAATCGCTTCCCTTGACAATGCCTGTAAACTGGCATTAAATTAAAATTTATTTATTTATTTATTTATTTATTTATTTATATTTGTGTGGGCAGTTGCTGCAGAACTTATCCATCACTAGCAAGCTGTCTGGTTCGCCGAAGTAGAAATTATTGGGTTTCCAGTACAGATAGCACACGGAAGATTATTATCTTCGGCGCCTGTCTCTAGGAGAAGTTAAAAGCCA